TCTGAAAACTCTAAGCTCAGATTAGATTTACAAGGCTCTTCTCTCAATATAACAGTGCACTAGGAAGCAGGCAGGCCTGCGTCCCAGCCCGTTGCCACCCACGGACCTTAGCAAACCTGCCTGAACCTCAGATGTGGTCTGAAGGCGTGAGGGCCTGGCAGTGGTCAGGCCCGAGCAGGGCCAGAGCTAGACAGCAGGGGCGCACCAGGCCTCCAGACACTTCTGGGACCAGCCAGTCCTTCTCAGTCCCTCCTTCCCCCCAGTCCCAGCCTATGTTTGGCCTGAGCCACCTCCACCATGACAACAATCCAGGAGCCTGATGAAAAAGCAAAGAGCCCCCCCAACCCCAGTCCTCCCTGTAGGAGGCACCTATGAATAAATGATGTAAAAGCCAAATAACCAAGTAAAGCCAGGAAACGCTCCGTCAAAAATAAATCAGCAGGAGAAATAAAGATAAGGGTCTGACGGGCCGTGGAAATGAGGTGGCAATCAACTCACCTAAGCGGCAAGTTCAGAACCCAGCTAAAGCTCAAGCAACAGCTACAAACAGGATAAATGTCTGCTAGAGGAAAAGGCTATTTTTAGCGGTAAGACTATCAGAGATCTCCATGCATACTAAGCCCCTGACATTCTGAGTGACATTTGCTTTCTGGGAGCTCCTAAGCCTGACTATAAGCCAAGATAGAAAGATTAAAAATAATTGACAATGCTACAATTAAAAAAAAAAAGGACCAGATCCCCCAAACTAGTGTCCAACCGCAGTGCCCGACACAGAGCTGGCCTTCAATGATACCAAGTGCCAGGAAGTGGAAGGAATTCAGCCCACAGCTGAACAATCTCGGGGCCTGAGTGATAATCAACGTTAGACAGTCCTTATGCAAAGTCAGATTAGCTCCTGAGGAGCAATGCACCCAAACTCCAGGGCTGCTGAGCTCCTCATAAACACAGACACCCCACTGCATCTAACACCAGGACCCGTGAACCGCAGCAGCCAACTGTGATCTCACATGACACAGGGACATGGAAAGTGGGCTCTTACCTTCCACTGATTTCCAAATCAAAGACAAAGGCAGGAGGGTTTATGCTTTGAAGTACCACTTAATCTGGTCAAATGGTTACAGAGAACTACCTATTTGCAAATTAAGTATCCAGGGGCTAATTACAGATCCAATCATTTTGCTCTATTTTTCATTTCCGAGTTTTGGGGGAAAATGACTTTTAGTTAGGAACCAAGCTGATCATGTCTGCTTAACCCACTAAGTGACATTTATGAATCTCTGTCAGAACTTTTCTCCCCATCACCCACCCACATCCCCAACTTTGGACAGGGGGGCAAATGTTGCCTGTCAACCTTGGTACCCTACTTAGGGAATTAAGCTACAATGAACACGGGCATCTGAATGGACGCCCAAAGCTGAACGACCCAACCCTGGAAGACAGAATGATCAACATGCCCACTTCCCACCTTGGGCAAGGCCAGCCTGCACCTGGAGGCCCAGGCCAGGCTGTTCACAAAGGTACCTGGTCGTCGGCGGGTGGGGGGGGGGCACCCTTTCAGGGAGGATGACAGTCGCTCTCCAAGTGACATGAGTCACACAATGTAGGGCCCTTCTCCAGGCAGTAAGTAGTCACTGCCAAGAAGGAAGAGGCAGAGCTGCTCTGGCCCTGCCTGATCCATGGCCATGTGCCACAGGACACTGTCCCCCCGCCATCATTTCCAAGGGGCAGGATCAAGGAGTTACTCGATTTTAAGTCCTCTAGTTTTCAATATTTTTGAGAAAGTGCTCGTCCCTTGAACACTTCTCTTTTGTATCCACCAATGTGACCCATGCTCAGCAGCAACTATCACTGTAAAAATGCTCTACCTGCCAACGAGTGTCCTCCAAGTCATCAATGAGTCCCCAGCAGAGAGAGGAGGATGCTAAGGCTCATGGAATTTTGCAAAATCTAATGTGCCAAACGCTAAATAAAGAAAAATCTTTTCTCTCTCACTTGGATGTATAACAATGGATAAACCTCTTGGGCCTAGTAAAGTCAGATTCTTCAACTGTCAAACATCAAAAATAAGAAGGCCTATCAAAGAGCATTATCCTGAGGACAAAATTAAATGAGGTGTGTGAAAGAGGCTGCACATTTTAAAATTTAAAATAAATATTACAAAAATAAGCCATGTGGTTTATCAGCATTATAATTCTGAATCCATAGAAATCACTCCTCAGTGGGCAGTGAGTGCGTGAAACTAGGAATCTAGAATCTAGAATCGGAAAAGTTTCCTGTAAGTGACCTCCAATTTGAGAGATTCCACATGGTCCTATTAGTAATGAAGAGGAGTGTCACAAGAAAGGGGATGAAAGTCAGATATAACAAAATGAAATCCATCACGGAGGAAATGAAGCCCTAACTAGTAGTAATCTTGATTGGGTTAAGGTAATCTGTAGGCACACCCTTGCTGCCTACAAGAATAATATCATCCTAGTCCTCAAATTATCACCTCAATTCTCACGTATAATGTCTGGTATATGATTAAAAATACTCAGGCACATGAGGAGAAAAGACAATATGTTCAAACACTAAGAGGAAAACAGATAAGAGAAAATGAGTGTATAATAATGAAGTTTTCAGGAATTTTAAATGAATCATGCTGACTATGTTCAAGGAAACAAACAATAAGATTAAGAATTCTGACATACAACTGAGTGACTTAAAAAAGGGAACACACAAAGAAGTCATCTCGAAAGCTCTCGGTTGATGAACCTTATCTAGTGACAGTCAGCTATGTGGCTGTGACCCATGAGTTTGGCCAGGAGAAATCCTGGGCAGTGTAGCACCCTAAGAGCCTGGGCCAGGGAGCTAGTCTGGGTTGAAAACCTGACCTTATTATTTACAAGTGGCCTTTGGGGAGGCCAAGATGGCTATGGTTAAGCTCCCTGGCCAAGGCTCCAGCAGGCTGTTTTTAGTGTGTGGCCAAAGTCATGAACACCCTGACGCAGGGCAGACACTCGAGGGCGTGAACACCCTGACGCAGCGCAGGCACTCGGGGGCATGAACACCCTGACACAGTGTAGGCACTGGAGGGCGTGAACATCTGCTTGTGAGCAGGTGCCCACTTACCTACCTGCTGGTTACCTAATGATGTGCCTTCTTTGTCTGGGCTGCATATAGATCTAAAAGGCCCATGGAAGGACTCAGGGGGTTGGCTGAGTCTACTGCTGCCTCCAAATAAAGCACGTCTACTGTCCCACTGCGTCTCACCTCTTCGGCCACCTGCCCAGATCCTGCATCTGTTTCCTGGGCCCGAGCCTCCACCCAATGGTGTCCTTGGGGAAGTCACTGAACCTCTCTCAGGTGCTCATCTGAGAGATGGTAGAAACAATACCTGCTTCATAGGGTGGCTGCGGGGATTCCATGAACTGGGTCTGTCAAGTTCTTACACCAGAATCCGGCAAGGTGTTCTACGTACCAGGAAGTACAGCCTAAGCCTTCCTTAACTACGAAGAATGAGTTCAGCTCCAGCAGCCACTGCAGCCCTGCTCTGGCCTCCCTCTCCAGATGCCTCTTCTCTACCTCTGTCCTCAGGGGCCCACTTCCCACCCCAGGCACACTCACTCTCCTACACCTCCCCAGTCACATTTGCTCATTTCCTGTCCTCTCTCCCCTGTGCCTGAAACGCCCTTCCCTGATTAGCCCATTGGAAAGCTTCCACTCCATCCTCAAGAAGGCGCTGCAATGTCAGCTTCTCTGGGAAGCATTTCTACGGCCCTCCGAGAGGTAACTACTTCCCCTTCCGCACTCAGCCAGCCTGAGTTCCCCTTAGCAAACCTGGGTCAGTCCTATTTGTGTCTGTCTTACCCACCGGGGGGGCTGGCCTCTGACTGTGCCTCACACGTCTCTTTTCCTGAGCACCGAGTCTAGTGTCCAGTGCGAGCAGTGTTTTGATGTGGAGAGCAGGCCGTGCCTTGCTCTGAGTGCCACCGCTGTGAACAGGAGAGCAGTTTCCAGGCGGTGCCTGACCCCGTGCTGCTCCACTTCATAAAGCAGTAGTTGGCCATTCTGAGTATCTCTGCACCTTGTTTATGCAAGTAAACCACCACCTCTGCTTAGCACAGCCACGAGGCATAAACTAATAAAAATGTAACTGCGCTAATAAAAAGGGCCTCCTGTGGACCTGTCGAATTAAGTCAGAAGCTCTCAGCTCCATGGGCCTATCAAACCTACACCACAAAACCCAGACCAAGGAGCAACACACCAGACCAGCAAAGGAAGCAGCCCCTCACCTGAGACCCATCAGAGGAGGAGCACCCCAGGCTGGACACAAGAGCACCCTGACCTATAGCCTTGTCACGAGCCTGGTCCAGAAAAAAGCCTAGTCCTCAATGACAGCATTCTGATTCTCTGACCCCGGGCCTCAGCTCAGTGCAGCTTTTCCAGACTTGATGTCAACACGTGGCCCACTCCAAGATGACACTGAAACTGCCATCAGTCTGGACCCTCACCTGGACCATCTGCAGAACTGCACACCTGGCCACCTACAGTGACTCTCTGCATCCATATCTGCTCTCCGCCCTTGCTCGGGAGAGCGCCTCCTGTAACCCCGAGGCCACCTTAACCCTTTCTGTAAACACAAAGGCATACATATGAACACACACACGTTGTATAGTGTGCAGTGTGACTCCAGGGTCAGAGACAGAAGTGATTAGGAGTGGAGGATAAAAACTGTGATTGCCAGGCTTGTGGCTGTCAGCTGACCCACGAGCACGGGCTGAGTGGCCACTGGTGGAAGCGGTGGACCTGTGAGCTCACTGCTATTCAATAAATCCTGCCGTCACAGAAAGACCCAAGCCCGTCTGGTCTATGTTAACGGCACGTCTCGCTCACAACATCGGATGGTGACGACCGAGTGATGCATGATGAAGCGATTGACAGACGCCTGTTTCCTCCCCTCCCTGCAGCTCAGACGCTCACGGCCTGGCTGGAAGCAGAATGGGATTTGGGATTCTTACTCCTCTAAGGCCTGCAGCATACTCCCGGGGTCCTCGGAAGTCAGGATGTCCACCATCTGGTCATTGAGGGAAAGGTCCTCATTCACTCCGCCCGCCGAGGTGAAAGGCGAGGGCTCCAACTTGCTCTCGGCTCGCTGAACCTTCAGGAGAAAGGCAGACACAGCGACTTAGTGGGCCTCCGTAGGACCTCCACAGGGAAGGGAAGGCTGGCAGTCGGCAGGCAGGGGACAGGGCTGCCTGGCCACCGTGGGCAGGTGAACTCGGGCAAGCGCTGCTCTTCTTGGAGCCTCCACTGCTCAGTGGAGAAATGGGATCATGATTCCGACGGCCTGCTCCCGAGGGCCGTGTGCCTACGGCACAGCAGAGGCTGGGAAGGCCTTGGGGACCCACAAAGATCTGTGCTGGTGTTGTACCACCCTCATCACCACCACCAGGGGAGGGGACCCACACCTGGCAGTAGGACCCCGCGACACGGTTTTGGCATGTTTCTCATTAGAACATGGGATTGAGGTGGAAGTGACAGTCGTCATCACTAACCCCAACTCTGATGGGACAGAGGAGCCTGGCACATGTGATGTCATAACACTCAGTGTCCCACTTGACAGATAAGGAAACTGAGGTTCAGAGTAGTGAACAGCACATGATGGCCACACAGCTCAAAGGAGCCAGGCAGCCCGAGTCCCAGGTGCTCCACTGGAAAGGCACCCCCCCGTGTTACAGCACATTGTCTCCTTGGTCACCACCACTGGCAGAAAAATAAAGAAAACGTGAAGAGACTCCACTGCGCGGTGCTGGGCGAGTGCTGCAGGGCCTTCAGACTTCACCCCTCTGCTCTCCGCCCGCAGCTGCGCTCCGTCACAGCGCGGCACGTCCGCTCCCCCGGCAGGTAGAGCTGGGTCGGTGACACGAGGTGTCATTACGTGGGCCGCTTTCCTCCTCACCTCTGCCTCCAGGAGACAGAGGCCAGCCTCACTTTGTGATGGCGCCTCTCCTCCAGGAGACGGAGGCAGAAAGAGCAGCAGGCCCCTTCGGCTGGACAGGACTTCCACCTCCAGAAAGACGGGTCTCCAGACACCGGGTCCTGGCCTGCGCTGGGCCACCTGCAGCTGTCCAGACTCACGAACCTCAGGTTCCCACACAGAGGAGGAGGGGGATGGCAGACGTTCCTTCCCAGGGGCTGCAACTAGGGGTGGCCCTGAGTCACAGCGGCTCCAGCCCTCCATGGCCCTGCACAAACCAACCAGGAGCCCAGGGGGTGCCCTCCCACCCCCGCCACCTGGCTTTCCTTCCTGTCTGTCCACCCATCAACTGGCCAAGTGCTCACTCCCCCTTGGGCCCTGGAGGGGTGCCTCAAGCACAGGTTCCACCCAGGCAAGGGCCACACAGACACCACCTGGCCCCACTGAACCCCTGCCCCGACCCTGCAGTGGCCACCAGACAAGCGCCACCAGCCAACACATGACCCTTCCCTGGAGGATCCTGCTGGCCTTCAGATCCCATGCCAGGGACACAGCGTCATCCTTTCTCCTTGCCTCCTGGCCCCAAACAGTCACTGGTGGGATTGGAGATAAACACCCTGGGCTGCCTCGTGCCCTGGGCAGGAGTCGGCTGGTGCCGCGTCCCCCGCGTAGCTGCCTTCCCGCCTTCCCCCTCCCTCACCCCGTGGGGATCACTTCCACGTAAACCCTGAATCCCGGCCTCAGGATGTGCTGTGGAGCCCAGACCAAGAGACGGAGGGGTGCGGCCAGGCTACGGGACTGTGAGGAGCGCTGGGTGGTGTCCAGTGAAGGCAGGGGGAGCCCAGAGAGCCCCGCACCTCCAGGAAGTGGCCAGCGATGACTGGCAGGGGAAGCGGGTGCCAGAGAACAGCACAGGGCACTGGGCAGACAAGGCACAAGCGGTAGGAGCTCAGCCTCCCAGGACGTATGTCCCGAGGAGTGGCAGAGCAGAGAGCACAGGGAAGGGGCAGGAGCCTGGGCTCCCCCAGGGACGACAGCAAGCACCAAGGCCACCAGCAGGCAGTGTGGACCAGGGCCTGAAGTGGGTGGCGAGGACACACCTGCCCGCAGTGGGTGCTGGACTGCAGGGCCCGAAGCCCGGCCACTGGTGGAAACCACCCAAGGAGCCAAAGACAGAACTAGCTTAAGTGACCACGAGGGGTGAAGAGAGGAAGGAATGTGGCACACTCCCACGATGGAACAGAGTTCAGCATCAGCAGATGATGTCCTCTCACAACCTGGGTGACCAGGAGGACGTCACACTGAGTGACACGAGCCAGGCACAGGAGGACATGTGCCACATGCCCTCCCTCACGTGCGGGAGCCATAGAGGCTGATCAGATAGAGGCAGAGAGTGGGCTGGAGGCAGAGGGAGCGCCGGCAGCACTGGGGGCTCTGCTGATCACTGCACAGCCGGAGGCTCAGGCTACCGTGCAGACAAAACAGAGGACAGACAGGATTTTCAATGTTTTCCCCACAAATAAATGTTCCGTGTGTGAGGCAACGATGTGCTCGGACCCTGATCTGATCACTGCACACTCTACACAGACATCCAAATACCACGCTGACCCCATGAACTCATATGACTATTCTGTCAATTAAAAATAAAACGAAATAATTTTTTTAGAATGAATCACTCAGGGAGGGTTTTAAAAGCATTAGTGGTGAGGATGCAATCCAGGACGCGTGGTCAGTGTCTGGAGGAGCGGGGATGAGACTCGCCCGCAGATCTCAGCCGGCTCCCACCTGGTGCGCATAGGGGCCACCCGCTCGGCATGAACCTCGCCCCACCACCAACCCACTGCCCCAGGAAGAAGCTCACCCCACGTCTGGCCAGCACACCTCCCTGCAGACACTGGTATCGCGTGAAGAAGAAGAGTACCGTCCAGCTCAGTGCCAGGGAGACCAGGAAGGCAGTGAAGAAGGCCGCTGCGTGGAGACCATGGTTGGGTAGAACCTGCAGGAAACAGGGAGAGTGAGAGTCACCTGCGGTCACACTTCCCATCTGCCAAGGTCAGCAGATGAACAAGAGCCTCAGCAGAACACACAGGGAGTCAGGAGAGCCACCTGGGTTGGGACCAGCTCTCCCAGTGCCTGGCTGGTTGCCTTGGGGTCCTTGCTGGCCCTCTCGGAGCCTGAGTCCCTCCTGGTGTTAAGGCTCGCCACTCAAGAACGATCATTTCCAAAGTCAAACACATACCAAACATCAGGCAGCACTGGAGACCTGGGTATTTCCTAACAGTAAGGGGCAGAATCTTGCAGGGGCCAGTACCTCAGTGCACCTGAGACCCCCACCCCAGGAGGTCCACCCATCAGAGGTGTAGCCAGGACACCGGGGAGAGGGGGAGGATGCACAGGGCAGCAGACATTCTCTCAGGAGGTGGGTGGGCACCGGGCCATCCTGCCACTCCACGAGCTGGGCAGGAGCCCCGAGGGCTCAGCATGACTGGCAGACAAGGAGCCGCGCCACCCAGATGCCTGTCAAGAGGGACTTGGTGTGCAGCTGCGGGCATGCGGGCAGTAGACAGCCCCTGGCTTCGAGGTCAGAATCAGCAGCAGAGAGCCACCTCACTTGATGTCACAGTCTTCCCAGGACTGCCTGCACCTGGCAGCAGAGCACAGCAGGGCCCTGAGGCCACACAGGCTCCAGGGCTTCCCCACCAGGTTGGCTGAGGACGGCGACCCTACCTCCTCCTCTGCCCACTCCTGACTCCTCCTTGTCCCCCTTGCTGGGGGTGTCATCTGCAGGTCAATAATGACCACAAAGATACAAAGCAAAATCAGAAGCTGGGGAGATGCACCTGCAAAGCCCCAGGAAGACAGCACACGTGCTTCCCAGAGCCCCCTGGGTGCGGCACGAGGAGGTGCCCAATCCCAGCAGGGAGTGGGGCCGCTTGTGAGATGCTGGCTGCCAGCGCGGCTCAGTAGGACGCAGCGTCCCAGTTCTCACCCAGGGCTGGGGACGCAGGCCCCTCTGCTTGGCATGAACAGAGTTCCTGAAGGAAAGAAGGTGTTCAGTACCAACTGTGGATGTGTTTGTGAAGCCAGCCTAGTCACAGCCAGCCACGCTCACCAGCCTGGCGAGAGGAGGGTTCCTCCTGAGACCCAAGGAATCAGACGCCAGCTCGGGCCAACCCTGCAAGCCAGTCTGGGAGCAGCCCCCAGCCCCAGGGGCTACCCTTTCTGCAACCTGGAAATACACTGTGCCCTCCTCTGTCTCAGCAGCTGCTCCAGAGAAGCCAACCCAGGAGGACAAGTCTCATTCAAAACGGCTGCAGACAACAGGGACACCTTCTGCTCAGGAGCCAGCAGACAAGTAGCCCACTCCTCATTCCTGCAGCCGCATGCAGGTGACAGTCAAGGGCAAGTCCTCCCGACAGACCAGGCCACCCCAGCCGTCCTGCTGTCAAAGCTGAGCCCCATGCAGGGGTTCCCCTAGACGCTGAGGGCAGCTGAACCAAAGCACAATGGCAGCCTCACCGCCCCGTGGCTCAGCCGTCTACCAAGAGGGTGGGCAGCCACTCTGCCTCCCACTTGGACCTCGTAAATCAGGACTTTGATTAACACCAAAATGAAACCCAGGGTCCCCTACATTTTTTGTGCTGGAGTATCCCTCTGAGCCCTGATTGTGTACCCACTGGACAAGAAAATGTCACTAAACTGGATAAACGTGAATAGTATTCCATGGAGGTGACATTAAAATATTGATAGAGAAGAGATTCCCCCCCGCCAATGTCTCTAAAGAGGCCAAGGCACTGGGGTTGAGCTTACCAAGGTCTGCTCTTGCAGAAGGGGCAGCCTGTTTCACAGCTTTAGGAAGAGGGAGGGAGGGACCGGGCACTGGCCCTGTGGACCGCCTAGACAAGGTGTCCGGGCAAGGCGCCAGGCTGAGCTGATCTGCTGTCAAAGCTGAGCCCACGCTGAAGTGCTAACTCTCAGGATCTATGAGGGATCTTATTTGGAAATATGATCTATGAAGATGTGATCCAGATGAGGTCGTGTTGAACTAGGGTGGGCCCTAAGTCCCCTGACCATGTCCTCATAGGAGAGGAGATGGACAGACACAGGACACACAGAGAAGATGGTCCTGTGAAGACAGAGGCAGAGGCCAGCGTGCAGCTGGGAGCAGGCGAAGGCTAAGGGCTTCCCGGGCCAGGTGAAGCCAGGAGGCACAAGAAGGGTCGCTTCTCCGGAACCTTCCCAGGCAGCATGGCCCCGCTGTGCAGGTCCCCCAGGGCTCCCAGGACACGGAGCCAGTGTGTGATTGACCTCCTCTCACTCAATGCCCAGCAATCCTGCAGAGATGCCCAGCAGACAAGCAGATGAGCAAGGAAATTCAGTAACTCATATCCACGCCTGAAAAATGCCAGTTGAGCGCTGCTGGCCGCCAGTGCCCATGTTCTCCCTTCAGGTCACACCAACCACCATCCAGGTTGCTGTGAAATTCCTAGTCCCACTCTCCTAGTCCAGGGGAGAAGCTGCTTGACTGGTAAGAACCACAAACGGACTGGGCCAGAATCACAGGCAGCAGGTCCTGTGCTGTGCCCACACTCCACATTCCCCCTCTCCTCCCTCCCCGTCAGCCTCTCTCCTCTTCCCACCTCCACCTTCTCAATCCGAATCTGAGGTTCTGCGCTCCTCTGGCCAGGAGAGTGGCAGAGATAACTGGAAGAGCAGAGGTGCCGGGCAGTTCAGCAAGGCGGGGTCTGGCTGGACGTGGCACCCAGCCAGGATGCTCGTCCACACCAACACAGAGCAGGGCGGCTCTGTGGATCCTACTGTCTTCTCACTTGCAAATCTTACTTTCTGACACCAAAAGACAGGCACATCTTGTAGGCAGAGCCTGCCTCCTGGGAAAGACCACCTTAACTACCATATTCATTTATCTGCAGTGCTAAATCACACTAGGCCCTGTCCTTTCCCTGCCCACAGCACCTCTACTCTTCAACTTCCACCATGAAGTTGGACAAAGAAGAGCTAGGTCTCAAGATGCAGCTTTCTGGGAAGGAGAAGAGGCCACCCAATCACCACCATCATCATCATGCTCACCACTACTGGAGTTATGCTGTGGATACGAGATGCCCCCAAAAGCCCATGTGTGCAATAACGCAGGGATGGTCAGATGAAAAGATCAGACCAGTGGATTAATCCACTTGGCGGATTACTATTCTGAAAGGATTCATGGGTGGCGTGGCTGGAGGAAGTGGGTCACTGGGGACATGCCTTTGGGGCTTAGTTTTGTCCCTGGAAAGTGGAGTTCCCTCTGTCTCTCCCCGGCTCCTTCTCTCTGTCTCCTGACTGTCGTGAACTGAGTAGACTTCCTCTGCCATGCCATTCCACCAAGATGCTCTGCCTCATTCGAGCCTAGAGCTATAGTCGGTCAACCATGGACTGAACCTCTGAAACCATGGGCCAAAATAAACTTTCCCTCCTCTAAGGCGTTCTTGTCGAATATTTTGGTCCCAGGGATGAAAAGTTGTCAGAAACAACCATCAACATTCATCACTACCACCATTATCCTCACCATCATCATCACCATTACCATCACCATCTCCATCATCTCTGCCACCATGACAACTACCACCATCAGTATCATCATCACCACCACCATCATCACCCCATCACCATGACCACCACCACATTGTAGCTCAGTGGTTCCATGGCTTTACATATTTTAATCCGTCTGATCCTCACAATACTACGATGTGTATGCTATTTTAATTCCGATTTCATAAAGCACGATGCCAAGGTCTAAATAAGTTAACTAAATGGCCCAGGTTACAAGGTAGTAAGTAGTGGCTCTGACATATGCAAAAGACATAAATCATTTGTCTTTTGCATACACTACAAATTCTTTCCCAAGTTTCTCATTAATCTTTTTTTTTACTTCTTTTTTTTTAACCATACGATTTATTTTCATTTTTTATTTTTTTTAGTGGTCTTTTTAAATGTCAAGTTTTCAATTATTTCTGACTATTTATATACTCAAATCCATGGTTTTCTTTATACGACGTAATATTAGCTCATATTTACTTTTTACAATAATTTTAGCTATTTAGACTTTAATCTCATTAGGAAATCGATTTTTGTTTTTCTTCCAAAAGATCTAGTCATTTCCCCAAAATTTACATATGGCATTCTCCCACTGATTTAGAATGCCATTCTACTGCACACACTAGACCTTTCTCATCCTCAGCGCTATACACAGCGTTACTGTAGTTCTGTGATATTTTTAAGGTCTAATAGGGTACATTTTCCCATGTTACTCTTGATTTTCAAAATCTTCCCATCCAGCCTTGTGAACTCAGATTTTTAGGCGAACCTTGACTTGATCACATGGCCCACAAAGTCTCATGGGAATTATTATTGGACTCGCAGTGGATGATTCTGGGTACCATAGCAACTGCTGTAAACGTCTCGATTGGACCTGAGATCCTTGCAGCAGAACACTGCATCCGGGTCTCTGGTGCCTGGTCAGGTGCTGGCCCCTTCACCTGCATGTGAGAGAGACGGGGCACAGGTAGGGCACAGTGTGATAGTCTTTTTCCCTCAAAGACTCTACTCACCCAGGAGGAAGAGAGGGTCAGACAACATCTTGACAAAATGGAAAGAAATTCCTGAGGCCTCCTTTTCCTTGGGTGACATGTGTCAGTTTTCATCAAGGAGATGGAGGGTCCTCTGCATGTTGCACGAAGAGCAACTTCCTGTCTTTACTCTGTGTTTTTCAGCTGCTTGATGAAGACTCCAGGGGAGCTGCCGGCCTCCCTGGGCTCCTTTTCATGAGCACTTGCAACTTCCTAGTGTAAGTTCAGCATCTCTGCAGGTACCAGGCAGCCCTGTGGGGCACACCTGGTTTCCAAGGGCCCTGCCCTGGGTGTCTCCCCAGTGGACTCTGGTTCCATCTAACCAGCAGTTGGCATGGGCTTAACCCTGAAATCAACCTTCAGCTGCACGCTTCAGAATATCCCTCCCGTCTTCAAGCCTCACCTCCTCCAGGAAGCCTGCCAGTCTAAACAGCCAGAGCTCTCCTCCCCTGCTGGGACCCACAGGACAATCTATATTCAAGTCATAAACTCAGAAATTCAATCATAACTGTGCATCGTTTGGTCTTTTTTGTTTTTCATTTAATGTCTCAGTGTGATGTGGGGACAGTGGCATGAGTGGCTGAGTCCCCAGATGGCCCCAGATTCCACTGCTGCTTAAAATCCTGCACTGGGCCAGACCCACTCTGTAGCATAGTGTGGGCACCTGAGCCTGGGGCCCTAGGAAGCAGCACACATTCTCAGCCATCGCAGATCACCTGGCAAGGTGGTCAGAGTCATGTCACACGTCAACAGTACCGACACCCCCTGCAGGTGTGTGCTGAGCACTGTGAACTGCCAGGCCCTGCACGGGGTGCCCACCTGCCATCCACCTGCCTCTACAACCACCCAGGAGGTGGGTCCAAGGATCACTCTCAGTTACGACTGGGGAGCCAGAGGGCCAGAGAGGTAAGCGATCCTCCCGAGACCACAGTCAGTGGAGGGATGGGGACTCGAGGCCAGGCCTTCTGGTCTGAGCGCCCGCTGTGCCCACAGCAATGCAGGGTGCCATCTCTGTATTCCTCACATCAATAGGGTGCTGCTTGAACGTGGCCCCCAGCCCTTGGGCACCTGGGCAGGGCAGGCTGCACCCCAGAGGGGCACTGCTCCTGCTTCCCCAGAAAGGCAGCCCTAGGCCCTGGGAGGGCTCAGCGCCATCCTCCCAGAGGGCTGGGCACGAAGCAAGGACAGCCGTGAAGTGGATGCAGCCACGCAGCAGCCAGCCCTCTCCCTGGAGCGGTGACCACCACTGGTGACAGTCAGCTCAATCAAGGGATGCTGACCTATTCAATGCCACCTGCAAGGTAAGGCACTGGGGACACAGGAGCTCACTCACAGCCAACAAGGAGAAATGGTCACCAGTGTCCCGAGGCCCACTAGACTGTGGGCTCGTCACTCTCCATCTCGTCTGCACAGGGCTCCAGCTCACTAGCAGGTGATGTGGCCTGCTGCCTGGTGACCCTGCCTGGCTTTGACTGCTGACCTCCACCCACTGGCCATGCAGAAGGGTTAAATATCCAACACTGCTAGCCTCAAAGGGCTGCCTGAGAGGCTGGGCCTTGGCTGACCTCTGGGGACTTGGGCTGGTGGGGTCCTGGCCTCTGGGGACATGGCCTCCCACCACTCACTGGTGAGTGTGGCTCTGCTCTCAAATGCCCCACAAACAAGGGGGTTTGTGTCCGACCCTGTTTTCCTGCAGGAGCCTGGAATCCTGGTACTTGCCAGGCAAAAGGTGCCCACGTGGCCAGCCTCTGACACCCTGTCAGCGAGACCCTCAAGCTTTCCTAGTGGATGCCACGCCCCCACGTGCTACCACAGCACTGGCCGAGGGTTTGGCGCACCCCGAGCCGCCCCTGTGCGGTGGTCTTGGTGGCTTGTGGCTGGTTTGCTCCTCCCCCGCCGTCTCTCCCCTCGGCTCCTCTTGGTTTGGGTCCTTCCCTGCAATCACCTGTAGCCCTGTATGACGCCGTAAGTCCTGCGAATCCCACGAGAGAGCATCAGGCCTGGAGGTGGCCTGGGGACCACAACGCTCCAACCGTGGGACCCTGGGCAATCACTCGACCCGAGTTTCCCTGGCTGGGCAATGGGGTGATTTCAAGCCAGAACTCATCTCCCAAGATGGTGGTGAAGATGACGGGAGTCGGTGTCTGTCTGTTGCTTAGGACAGCTGGCACCAGCAGGCACTCAGGAAGTGCTCCTGGAGAGGGTAGGGGGTCAGGTAGGTGACCCCGGTGGGATAAGGACACTCAGGACAGCACTGTTTTGGAATGCGACTGTGAGGGTGATTGGGGGCAGCTCTGAGTGGACCCAGGAGGGAAGACCCACCCTCAGTGAGGGCGGGCACCATCCAACCTCCTGCGTCCCAGACAGAGAAAGAATACGGGGGGCACACACACACACCCCTCTTCTCCTGGACGTCAGAACTCTGGGCTCTCTGGGCCTGGACTGAGACGCACACCATGGGTTTCCTTGGTCCTGACCCTTCAGATCTGGACCGTGTCATGCTACCGGCACGCCAGGGTCTCCGCTTGCTGACGGGCTGCCGTGGGGTTTCTCTGCCTCCAAGATCCCGAGTCAAGCTCTCTAACGAATCCCCTCCTGTAACACCTACACACGTCCGTCTGTTTTTTCCCTCTGGAGAGCTCTGACACGCTTCAGGACACAGTGCTCGATGGACACGTGGATGTGCGCCCCGGGAGCCACCAAAATGATGAACGGAAACGGGACAGTGAGGGTGGTGATCAGCAGAGGCAGGAGCCAGCTGCCAACCACAGGGCTCTGGGACGATGCGGGAAGTCACCAGCAGCTGGTGGCAACGTGAGGCCAGGATTAGGGGCAGCACAGGGGGACAGGTGGCACTTTGGCCTGTCCAGATGGCGGCTGCCCCATGGGGTGACACCTGGGGAGGCCAGCCAGACAGCCATGGCCACTCGGAGGAGCTGCAACACCACACAGTCCCCAGCCTCCACCCAATCTGGGCTGTTGAGGCCCGTGGCTGGTTCCTCCCCTGGCTCCCGGGATAGGCCAGAGGCCAACACCGTGGCTGTGAGGGACATGGGTCACGTGTCGCTTACCGTTACCTTCTCTTCTGCTGTTATGGTAAGAAGGGCTTTCAGCTGTGTCCTGTTCTGGAAAAGAAAAAAAAAAAAAAAAACACTCTGGTCACTGCTCCCGGAGTCTGGTCCGCAGGGTAGCATTGGTGTCACGTTCAGCCCACCAGGCACCCGGCCAACAGCTGGGCAAGGAGGAGCCCGCGGGGTCCTGCAATCCCTTGCCGGGAAGTCTGTGATTTTGGATCCTGCTTTCTCCACCAAACGCTCACGCGCATACACAGCAGCAGGTTCCTAAGACCCAGGAGAGCCCGCGGCATGGTGTGTGGGAAACACAGGTGGGGGTCAGGCCTCCCGGAAAGGGGTGGGCCCACGGCTGCCAGCTGTGTGTCCAGGGGAGACCATCCACTCTCTGCCTAGGGTCACCTCTCACTGTGACCACCCTGTGGACCCACCTAATGGCTTCAATGTCCCTCTGTTGAGAAGACACCAGACCCATGAAGGGTGAGTGTTCCCACACCCTCTGCAGCCGTGGGGTGCCCAAGAAAACCCACCACAGGACAGGCCTGCGGGGTGGAGGCAGGACCCCCCACAGCTGGAAGGGCACAGGCCAGAGCACAGCTCCATGCCCAGCAGGGGCGAGGCACAGCCCAGCCGGGCTGGGTGGGGAGGTGGGGGGAGTGGAGAGAGCGGTGGTGGGAAGACAGGGAGAGTGTCCCTGATTCGAAGTGCTTGAGTGAGAAGTATTTCAGAGTGTTTTCATATTAGGAATATCTGCATGTTCATAAAGAACCCTCTTGGGGCTGAGACCCAGGACTAAATACAAACTCCAGTTAAGTTCCGCAGATGCCTTCCGCACACACCGGAGAGAAACTCTATACAACACAAAGTGCAACTGCATTTTGACCAGAACCCATGCCCTGAGGTCAGGTATGGAATTCCGCATTTGCGGTGTCACGTGGGTGCTCAACCAGTTTGTCAGCATTTTGGATTTGGGGTTCGGGGATGAGCAGTGCTCCCCTGTGGTATCCCGGCACGTCACCTTGGGCCTGGAGCTTGAAGTCCCGTGAGCCATGCGCAATGTGCAGCGGTCATCAGGGACACTGCTCTCTAACCTGACCTGTGCTCCAAGGCAGAAAACCCCCTGGCCCGTGGGCCCCCACTGTGACAACAGCCCAGGAGGCACGCAGCATGTCAGGTCCAGCTCGGGCAGCAGGCAACCTGTCAGAGGCTTTGAAAGAAACCAACTACCATGGCTCATTTTCTAGGGGCTTAGAAAAAAATTTAAATATGAGTCTTAAAAGAAGTGACAACCAGAGGGCAATCGCCCTGCCCTTTCTGCTTGAGTGGCCGCTGCTCTGGCGTATTTATGATGCTCTGTGGGTTTCAGGTCCCCTGAGCTGGACAGCTCAGGCTAAATTTGGAAGGCCACACCTGGGGGCTCTCTGCCCTGCTCTCGTCCCCCACAGCACCCCTGCCTCCCGTCTAGGCAAACAGGAGTGTCCGTGTGCCGTGGAGCTCGGATTCAGACCCTAACCCCTGGCTTACCACGTAAACTCAAGGCTGGAAAAGATGTTTTGAACCTTAGCACAAGTCAGAAGACATGGGCCAGGGGACTGCAGCGATGGATTTACAAAGTGGCCATGAAGTGTCCACAGAACTGCCTAGAGTGCCTTAAAGGCTCACAAAGGGAGGAACCTGCAACACACACACACACACACACACACACAAAGACTGCAGACATTGATACAATGATTTCCTCCTACAGATGAAAAACCTCAGGCTCAGGGAAGTTAAAAAAAATGCCCAAGATTCATTAGCTCATTGATCTGTTCATTCGCCTGCTCTGTGTAGGGTTCTTTCTGGCACTGGACACAGCTAAGATCAGGACAGATGAGTCCCTGGGCTCATGGAGCTGACATGCTAGTAGAAGCAGGAGACAAGGGGCAGAGTGAACATCACAGACAAGGACAAGCAGTACAGACAGGACCACAGCAGGGTGTGGCAGGGCAGGGACAGTCACTCAGGCTCAGGACCCGCACCTCTGCTGCCCAAGCCCCGTGCCAGGTGCACTGGAAGCCTAAGGCTACACTGCGGCCCTGGCTTGAGGTCCTGATTTCCCTGCCAGAGGACATGGAAGAGTCCAGTGTCATTTTGAGTGTCTGACTCTTTTGTCTTAAATTTTTATGTTAGCTGACTTGTTCCGGTCCTCTGAAACTATTGATGGCATTCCTTCTGGGCCGTCTGAGTCTTATTTCTTATCTCTCTGTGTCCTATTTTTTGACTTTGTACCTAATTACTTCCTGACGGATGGCTCTGTTCCGACAGCCTCACGGTTTTCTCGCTTCTGGTCTTTATCCTCCAGCATCTTTCATCTTGTCCAATTTTACCTGCAGCTTTTTTTTTTTTTTTCCTTTTCCTGTTGCAGCAGAAATGCTGCCCAGGCTCTGTGGCCTCAGGGATGAAGGAACTCCCGGAAGTTGCCAGTGGCTGCAGGCACCCCCCCCCCCCCCCCCCCCCCCTCTGCTTCTATCATGTGACCTGGGGCCGTCACAATAGCCTCTAAAGCACATTTCCACATCTATGAAAAGGGACTTTATCCAGGGACTAAAATCACAATAAAATGGCAGAAGGAGCCAAAGCATCCTAAGCTCCCTGAGAGCAAAGCTATGCCTCCTCCATCTTGTACCAGGGTGCACATTGTTGCCCAGGACCTCCAACCAGGGTGTTCGCTGCACAAGTGGATCCACAAAATGGGAAGTGAGCAAAGGAGAGACCAAGGATAATGGTGTTATGGGCTGAATCATGCCCTGAAAATGCAGATGCAGAGGTCCCAAGCCTTAGTGCCTCAGGATGTGACTCAGAATGTGACAGGGGCTTCAAAGTAAAATGAAGTCATTAGGGTGGACTGTGGGCCACCTTTAGGGTGGCCTGGTATCCTCCTAAGAGGAGGAGATCAGGACAGACATACACAGAAGGACAACCACCAGGTGAGGACACGGGGAGGAAGCCCTCTGCAACCTGGAAGCGAGGCCTCAGGAGGAGCCACCCACCAGCTCCTGTTCTCAAGCCCGCGGCCCCCAGGACCTGCATCGATGTGGTGCTTTTCTCTGGAAGCCACCGGGTTGGTGTGCTGGGTTCTGGCAGACTCACAATGAGGGCACCCACTGGGGAAGTGCCCACAATGTGAAGAGTCAAGAGTAGTTCAAGCTGCATACCACTGACCGCACACCCTTAGGGTGACCCTGGGTGAGGCACTACGTGACTGCTCCAGGTGACAGGAGGTTACTGACCACAAGCCACTGCCCTGGGTGAGGTGCCACTGAGAGTAGGCAGGCAGGCACTACTGATCTGTGCCCTTCGTGTCAATGTTCCTAAAACCTCCCACCAGTGACAAGACAGAAAGCCAAGTAACAGAGGAGATACCGGTGAGGAGCTCTGAAAGGTGAGCTGGGCAGGAAGGGTCAGCCTCTCTCCCGTCCCCACTGCTTCCGAGTCCAGCGAGGCCGTGTAGGTCACCCAGTAGGAGTCTCCAACTGCGAGGAGAGAGAAACCCGGCATCAGGGAGGCGCCGGCCACGCCCCCTAGGCAACCACGCCCACCAGGCCACGCCCATAGCCGGCCACGCCCATAGCCGGCCACGCCCATGGCCGGCCACGCCCCCTCGCAGACACCACCCCCCACGCCCCCCACACAGCGCACTGGATCTGTGGGCTCCACGCACCCGGGGTGGGGCGGTCTGGTAGTGGTCGTGGGCATGGGCTAGCCTCACTTGCTCCTGGACTCCCAGCCATGAGCCGGTGCACCCCACCCACAACACGGCCGGCACCCCTTTCTCCCTCGTGCTGCGCCTCATCTTTCCCGTGGGCGTGGGAGTGCAGTCCCCACCCACTGGCGGCAGCCTTCTGCCCTCAGGAGGGACCCGGGCTCCTCCACACTGAGGGGCACTCTTCCCACCTAAGCCTACCCTCCGACTTCGCCTTCATCCCCAACAGGACTGGAGCTGACCCTAACACAGTGTGCTTACTTCCCAGTTCCTGGCGACCTCAAAACAGTGTAAAAAAGGAGGAAATGAGCACTGATCCTAGGAACCACGGGATTTTGTTGTTTTTAAAATCTTCAACAGGTTCATTTTACTTTTACATAAGGATGAAGCCAAGACTCTGAAGACAGGTGATAATGGGAGAAGACCACCACGATTGTTGTCCAGAAACGGCTGTCCTGGCCTGACCCCGCCTGGCACAGCCAGGCCATACTCTCCATGCACTCCCAGACCTTGGCCTGGCTCATCCCCAAGTCCCCCGAGGCCGATGGCTAGGGAACAGGTTATTTTCTGCAACGCTGAGAAGAAACTGAGACTGATCTGTGTAGGAATGAAGAGTGGACACTGTCTTGTCCCTAAATGATGCTGACTTTCATAAAAGAAAAGCAGCAAATACTACCACTACTCATCATCATCGTCATGAGGTCAGAGTATCAGAGGACTCAAGTCTGCTGGTCATTTGATTTTATCGTCATCTAATTATTCTTTGAGAAAAACAAAGTTGCCTGTCCCCTAAGTTGAAAATCAGTGCCACCTCCCCTGGCACAGCAGACTTCACAGTAAGCACTATCCACATGCTGACCGGAGGGAATGCAGGGTGCTGGGCAGAGTCTGGACATGGGCTTCAGAGCCACAAGAAGAACCTAACAAGAACAAAAACAGCCACGAGATGCCCACCAACACCAGGCGCACCCCCACGGCCCGGCCATCCTGGAGTTTTTCAGGGATTAGCTTCCTCATCCTCACTATGACCTTGACCTCGTGTCCTGCTCAGTGCAAGGATGAGGAGATGGGCAGGAGGCATCCCCAGAGCAGAGTGAGATGGACTCGGGTGAGGAAAGGGCTTGCAGTGGCCAGGGCTCCCAGCAGTGAAGGGAGGGACAGGTGGGTCCTTGCAGGGTCTGGGGGCAGGAGGATGCCTTTGGAGTAGGGGATCAGGTCATACTTCCTGGAAAAGGTCACCCCAGGACCAAGCCCCAAAGGATAGAGGAGACGTGTGCATTCAGAGTCAGAACAGGAGAGCTCTCAGGTGGGAAGACTGGGCAGGTGTGGGAGCTGGAGTCGGTGGCAGGTTTGTCTGGCAGAGCATGGACGAGGAAAGACAAGAGGAAATGGAAGACAGGGCCGGAGGTGCAGTGGGCTGGGGAGGGCTCTGCAGGAGCCCGCACCTTCCCCTTAGCAGGCGGAGTCCAAGCCACAGGATCTCCTCCACTCAGTCCACAAGGACGCCTGAGAAACGTGGGGATCTCAAGTCGACGTGGGGCTCAATGGAGCAAACCCAGAGCTGTCTGTGCTCTGCTAGTGGAGCTTAAGAACTGGGGGACTTGTTTTTATATCATTGAAGGATGGAAACCCTAGGGGTCACTTTTAGGACATCACGGAAACCAGAGCCAGCAAAGAGGTCACAACTTTTGAATCAGCTCCACTAGTAGATTCTGTCAACAAGATTGTATTAAGAAAGATTCTGGGTGGGCTGGGGTTGTAGCTCAATGGTAGAGTGCTTGCCTTGCACGTGTGAGGCACTGGGTTCGATTCTCAGCACTGCATATAAATACATAAATAAATAAATAAAGGTCCATTGACAACTAAAAAAAATATTTTACAAAAAAAGAACTGGGTACGGTGGTGCATGCCTGTAATCCCTGCAGCTTAGAGGCTGAGGCAAGAGGATTGCAAGTTCAAAGTCAGCCTCAGCAAGAGCGAGGCACTAAGCAGCTCAGTGAGACCCTGTCTCTAAATAAAATACAAAAAGGGCTGGAGATGTGGCTCAGTGGTTGAGTGCCTCTGAGTTCAATCTCTGGTACCAGAAAAAAGAACCTGCTTCATCAATCAATGCCAGCTCCCTCAGCAACGGGCCCCTGACAGCCAGCCCAGACGGCAGCACCCCAAGCAAAACAGCCATTCAGCAGCGTCCCAGAGGAACATGCCCAAACACCGTGAACACACTGGAGCGACCTGGACATCTCATGAACGTGCTTCCGAGGCCAACGTCAACATCCTCCCACCTTGCCCAGCGCACACAAACTCTCTGCCTTTCTGAGTGATGGCAATTTTGGTCATCAGGTGATGGGGCACCAGAGTCATTGGACTCCATCACTCAGAACATGTCTGGCTGAAATTTTTCACAATTAAAATTGAATCTGTATTTTAAAAAAAAACAACACAGGATTCTGCCATCACCTTGCAGAAACTTCTTTCTGAAAGCCTGGAATCCATCCTGGGTCTTGTTCCCGACCGACTCCCTGAGGGTGAGGCCTGTGATGTCATCCAGCACGAGCAGTTCTGAGAGGTTGGCTGACGAGGGCGTCTTGGTGTTGTTCACGAACAGGTGAATGAGCACTGTCTGTGATTCACTCTGCCCCGACACCTGGGATAGGAGGAGAGGAAGGGAGGGCCCATGGCTGCAAGACCAGCCTGACCTCTGCACGTCAGGTCTCACGGGGGTCCTGAGAATTTACCAGGCTCCTCTGGTTTCCAAGCCCCAGAGGATGTTGACCCACACTGTCAAGCTTTGGCCCAGAGACAACTGCAAAGAAGTTGGGACCCTGAAGTGCAGTGAAATCATCCTGCTAAGTGTTCTGGAAGGAAAACTACCCCAAGGTCAGGCTGGAGAGAGAGACTCAAAAGAGCAAGCAACAGCTCTTTGTACTGAGTTATTCTAAAGATGCATCCCCAGCTCAGAGCCCAGGCCGAATGGCTATTTGGTCCCCCAGGAAAGACCTGAGCTGGTCATCTGCATCCTGGTCGGTCTTCTCCATCCATGTTCTGCCTGCTGTAGGATGTGTCCGTGACCCATGTGGCTGGTGGACTCGACAACTGTGCCCTGCTGCCCTCTAGCCTTATCTCCCACCACCCTGCACCCCCTCTGCCCAGCCCTGCTGAAATAGATGCGGGAGCTGAAGAGAAGGAAGCAATGTATGTCCTGAGCTGAGTGACAAACAAGGTTCAGAAACGTGGGTATAGTATTCCACCACGAATGTGTACCTGCATGCACACAGGCTCACACACACACACACACACACACACACACACACAACCACCTGTGCATGTTAGAAAACACCTCTAGAAGGAATGTGAGAACACACTGCACTGATTGCACCCAGGAAGGTCAGCCAGGTGGCTGAGGGCCCCGTGAGGGCAGTGCAGGGAGCAGGAGCCCCGCAGGCCTGGGCTGTCCAAACCCTGCACGTTCCAGAGGGCTCGCCTTTGACCTGCTTCTGGGAGATAACCTCTCAGGCTCCTGGAATATCCTGCCTGATAAGGAGGTTTTACACCTGGGGCCCGGGACCACACCTGCTCATCGAGGTCAACAATGGTGGGTGCCATGGGCCACACAGTGGCAGTGTGGCCTCCAGGGGGCAGAGGACTGAGCATAGAGGTTAGTCTTGCAGGGGCCCATGTCTGACTAAGCCCTGAGGAAAACTCTGGAAGCTGGTCTCCAGTGAGCCTTGCTCTTGGCCAGACTCTGTAGATGTTGCCACACAAGGTGCTGGGAGGACCGGGTGACTGGGCCACACCACGCCACTGCACAAGGACACCAGAAGCACCTGCCTGGTCTTCCAGGGCTCCCCATTCGCCTCATTGCTTTCTCTGCAATACACCACATCTGGAAGCAGCAGGGCTCCACTGCCTTCTGAGCCCTTCCGCAATCCCTGAGCTGAGGGTGCTCCTGGGGCCCAACTCAGGTGAAAAACTGTCTCATGGGGTTAGTAAGATGGAAGACCTAAAACAGTAAGCAAATTTTTGAAACTATCAAGAACCATATTTTTGTAATCTGAATATAAATATATAACCCTTTCTTCCCTATTCTAAATGATCACTTTTTTTTTTTTTTTTAGTTCTTGACAGACCTTTATTTTATTTATTTTTATGCGGTACTGAGAATCGAACCCAGTGCCTCCCACACGCCAGGCAAGTGCGCTTCCACTGAGCCCTAGCCCCAGCCCCTGATCACTGTTATTTTTATTAACAAAAATTTAAGTGTTCCCACCCACCCTCAGTCTCAGCATTGTCATCTAGAGATCAAACCCCTGCTGTCTACAGCATCACCGTGGGTCCAGACAAGAGCAGAAAAGCCCACGATTTACAGCCCGTGGGCCGACTCTACTAAGTGACCTGGGAAAAGTCCAAATCAAGCATAAGTCATTCGTGGAGACTCACCAGCGCACATTTCTGAAAAATTACTCCATTCTCTGAAGTCCCTTGAACTTGTCTTGAAATATCTCCATACTAAAATAAAAGAAAGAAATTATTTAAAAGTGAAGACTATTCCACTCTACACGTACTCAATAAAAACACGCGATGGTAGACTTTTTAAAGGCGGGTAGAGGGATTACTTCCGCGGCTGCAGCCACCCAAAGAGCAGGTGCAAACCTCCTCCTTGTGTAAATCCTCTGTTGTGCACAGAAGAGCACTGGGGAGAGGTAACTGGGCGGTCCCAGTGACGGTCACATTTAGGGAGAGAGAGGGAGCAGCTGGTTGGAGGAACAAAAGCCTATGACGTGCTGTTCACGGCCAGCTCAGAAGGGTCCTTCCACCTGCTGACATTCGTGAGGTGCTGCCTCGTTACTCACCAGGTGGGGCGTTACAGCAGACTCTCTTTTAAAGAGGTTCCTCTTGGGCCAGGAAGGTGCGAAGGCAAATAAGGAATGAGTCCACAGCCCTGGGGAGGCTGCCGAGGTCAGGACTGGGCTGGGGACGTCGGTGTTCCTGTTGGGTTTCATTCCAAGTGGGACTTCTATGCAAGACAGCCAAGCACAGCAGGACAGGAGCGAAAGGCAGTAAACACAGCAGTTAAACTCTGAGACGGACCTCACGGTGTGTGGAGGGCACTCGGAAAGGGACGCTGGGTGAGGGGCTGTGCTCATGAGTGAGTGGATGGAAGAGGGGATGGACAGGTGACTCGCGCTCTTTGCCAGGAAAGTGGGGCAGGCTCACGGGAAGCCGAGGGCTTGGGAGGGGTGTTTCTGAGCGTGGTCTCCTTACCTGGACCCTGTGCAGCAGTGTACATTCCCGGGCCCTGGCCACAAATCAGAACCACTGGACTATGGACACTCCCTGGGTGATTCTCACCATGAGATGAGATAGTCCTGGGTTCCAGTCCTGGCTCTGCCACTCTTCAGCTGTGAGCCCTTGGGCAAGTCACCTAGCCTCTCTGTGCCTGTTTTCCTTAACTGCTATGGTTACTGTGGTTTGCCCCCAAAGGCTCATGTGCTAGAAACATGGCCCCCAGCACTGAAAGGTGGTGGGACCTTTAAAAGGTGAGGCTGAGGTGGGGGCGACCGGGTCATGACCTCCTCAGAAGGGACCAGTGCTGGTCTCGAGGAGCAGGTGAGGTCTCCCAGGAGTGGATTACTTCTGCCAGAGCCAGTCACTCCTTATAAAAGGAGCCCAGCCCCTCTGGTCTCTTGCTTTCTGTTTTGCTATGAAACTTTGTCAAACACACCCCTGCCAGGCCATCACATCAGCTGTGCTGTGTAGCCTAAAAGCCCTCATCCGAGGCCCACCAGATGGGCTGTCCCCTTTTGGACTTTGAGCCTCCAAAACCGTGAGCTAAATAAACTTCTTGATCCAAGTACCCAACCTCAGGCACTTGATTGCAGCAATGCAAAAATAGACCAAGATGTAAACTCTGAAGAGGAGTTAACTCCTGCGTTAGTGGACCCCAGAGCCTCCACCTACTGCAGCACAAGCTCTGGTGGCCATCATAAGGAGGACAGGCACAGGCCGGACACAAGCACTGGCTGAGCCAACCAACACAAGATGACTCCTGCGAGAATCTGCTCTACATTGAAATATTTTGAAAGTTCATGAGCATTGTATGTATAGAAATGTCTCTTAAATCACATGGGCTGGGTTCAGGAGTCCTGCTGAGCAGGTGCCGCTTGGCTGCTAGTGGGCCGCGGGCTCTGGCCAGGGGAGCAGAGTTCTCTGAGCCTGGTCCTTCTCACCAGGGATGTGGTTAAGACACCCATGGGGCGGGGCTGCCCTGGGAGCCAATGAGCCACCACAGGTCACATGCTTGAAGTTAGAAATTTATCTAGATGGGCAGGTAGACAGACAGACAGACTGACTGACTAGGCAGTGTGGAGACAAGTCTCACTGTGCTGCCCAGGCTGACGCAAATGATCCTTCTGCCTCAGCCTCCCAAGTAGCGGGCACTACAGGAGTGCCCACCACGCCTGGCAGGAATCTATACTTTCACGATGACCCAGACTGCGCAGCTGCGCTTCCTTTAACATCCATCTCTGTCCAAGCACAACTGCAGTGTGCCTGCAGACACACCCATTTTGGGTCATTCTCACTGTGTTGACAGCAAGGTCTTTAATAGTATGTTTTAAACCTACAGAATTTCAAAAAACAGGTAGGGAAAAATTTTAAATTGAGAAAAAATAAAAAAGATGTGGGATGGGGCGCTAGATAAAATTAAGGTCTCTTGTTCCTTGGACAATGTCTGGTGGATTTGGTTCACGAAGCTGCCGTGAGGATCAGGGTCCCCACCGCACAACTCTTCACACTGAGAAGCTGGCACCGGGACCTGACAGCCCTGGCCACGAAACAACCAGGCTCTTTCCCAGGCTGGCCGCTGAGCTGGTCAGAAAGGTCTGGGGAATCAAGTGGGCACAGTGCTCTCTCCAGACCCCAGCCCCTTGGACTCAGGGCAACGGCTCGCCCCGCACACCCACTGGACGTAAAATCTTATACTGGATGTAAAAGACCTACATGAGTCTCAGGACTCGTCTCTGGGCACCTGTGTGTGCCCCACTGGCTCCTCCTTGTCCTCGGGAGCACCCCCCCAGGAAGGCCCCTCTCTAGTCAGTGGGAATCCTGCTGGGTCTACGGACCAGGGGGCCCACCTGCGTCCCAGCCTATCTGGGTCCCAGGATGCCACAGTTAGGCAAAGAGTCCAGAAAACTCCAACCTGGCCTCAGTGACAGGTTCTGGGACACACATGACAAACTGAGCCCATTGGTTTTCCTGAATTTATACGAGGACAGTGGAGGAAAGCTCTTCACTCTGCAAGTGCCAGCCACGGGGCTTGGATCCCAGGACTGTCACAGCCTGGAAAGGCTGCTCGGAGAAGGACGCCCTCCAGAGGACAGCAGCAGGGCAGCACCTGGGTCCCACGGGGACCTCGTCCCTGGGGTGAGATTGTTACGGGTGATCAGTTTCCTCTTGTGGACAGTTAGTGTCACCTGGTGTAATGGACTGAATCATGGCCTCAACGATACTTGGGTCCTGATCTTTAGCAGGGACTGCGCAGAGGGACTACACCGAGGGCCTGTGAAGGGGCAAGAGCTGGGTCGTCCAGATGGGCACTGAATGTCATCCCAGGGGTCCTAAGAAAGAGCCCAGGGGAGACTTGAGGGGAGGGGGTGACATGGCCACCCAGCTGGCTTTGAAGAGGTGGGAGGGGCCTCGACCTGAAGAACTCCAGGAGTGGGCTGCAGGTGCCACCAGAGGTGGACCCTGCCCAGATCCCCCCAGGGAGCGGCCCTGTCCACCCTCCACTTCAGCCCGGGGAATGGAGAACAGAGTTGTTTAATGAGCTCTGAAGCTGTCACAGCAGCACAGGTCACCGAGAGCCTGGCGCTCAGCACGCTGTTTCCCTCAGCAGGCGTCCAGACAGCCCGGCCTGCCCTGATTCAGCACTGTGTCCTCACTACCGCTCAGGCATGCTCTCCATGTTTTGTTTTGTGAGTTCAGGGAACAACCTGTTTGCCCAGGTGGGGGGACACCGCGAGGACCCACAGGGTGACGCAGGTGAGGGTGGGCTCTGGGTGCTGCCACTCAGGGTCAGAACAATGAGAAACCACCTGAAGCAAAACTCACCTGCCGTCTTCAGGTGAGAGCGCTCCACATGCAGCCACGTCCTACAGAACAGGCCCTAAAACACACGACAGGCCCAGAGTCGTGAGCTGAGGAACACACTCCTGGGGAGCGGGCCATGGTCACTTTCCAGAACAGCTCCCTGGAGAGGAGCGGCACCTCTCTTCCACGTCTGGAAGCACCTGCCCAGACACACTGCCCTTCTGGGAGCTGTCTAGGGCACAGCACGGTGTGGATGAAATGCCGCAGACAGATCTGTGTTGGAATCCCAGGTCTGCTTCCACGGGCGGGGGCCCCGGCAAGCCCCAAGCATCGTGATTCCTAAGAACCCACAAGCTGCTGGGGTGGCAGTGAAACACCGGACAGGGAGTCAGAACTGGGTTCTAGTTAGCAGCTTCTACTCACTGGGTGTCCTCGGCCAAGTCTCAGCTTCTCTGAGCCCGCTCCCTCTCTGAAAAGGGGCCATCTCAAAGTTCCCCCAGCTTGCCTACCTCATGACTGATGAGATCTTATCCAAACTGCACCCAACCAGGCCCTTCTGCTCTACTTTGTGAACTCTGGACCCTGGAAGGCCAGAGCCCTCCCTCTCCTGTTTGCTCCTAAGGGCTGCCCTGGATGGGGCCCCTTCAGCATGCCAGGTCCTGAGCTGGCTCTCCAAGCCTGCGGTACAAGAGCGCAAAAGAACCGCGGAGTATTAGCCTCATTTTAAAGTGCTCTCCCCAGACTCAGGGTAACTAGGAACTCCCTCCAGGCCTCACAGGAACGGTGGTGGAGACTGGCTTTCACCCAAGCAGCTGCTCTGGACTTGGGCTCCCACCATCCGCTCTCGCTGGCTTCTGTGTAGTTAAGAAGGACGCATGAGCAGGAGGGCTGAGCAGGACACTCAGGCCTGGTCTCAGGTCCAGTCCCAATGGCCACACGGGAGTGGGTGTCTTCACTTGTTTGTGCTGTCATAACAAAACACCTGAGACTGGGTAATTGGCAATGAACAGAAATTGATACGGGGTGCGCTGTTGCTGCAGCAATACCTAAAACTGGGAAGCAGCTTGGGAACTGGGTAATGGGGAGGCTAAACCGTAACAGGCGTTCTCGAGGGGACTCAGGTGTTGGGGGCCGTGTGTGCGTAAACCATGGTTTGCTCAAGCCATTAAGGCAGAGAGGCCACTCTTTCAGGAACTCCTGGGTGTAACTCCCCGGACGCCTGGATCAAGCTGGCCCCATCTTAGCTCACAGCCTTAGGATCAAACAGCCTCCCAGAGATGGGCGTAGCCCACCAAATGCCAAATAACCTGTCTACTGCAAGACCCCTGGCACACGGGCAGCAAGCCCCTAAACAAGACTCCTCCCCCACAGAAACTTTACACTTACCCGTCCCTTGATCTGGACCGCGATAAATAAAGCAAGTGTGAGCTTCTTCTTTATTAGAAGCCAGACCCCTCTGGTCCACTCAACTGGTCACGCCCCTGCTTTAAAAATATCCCCGCCTTTTGTCTTTAATCCTGACACATTACCTTCATAGCTTTTATCTCACAGCCAGCCCATCCCTCCGGTGGGTGCCCATTCCCTCGCCCACACTGGACGTGAGCCAGGTTCAGCAGGAGGAGAGCTGTAGGGAAAGTAGGGACTCCCTGCAGACGAGTCAGGTGCCCACCAGAATGTTGGCAAGGATACAGACAATAAAGCCATCCTGATGCAATCTTAGGTGAACATGGACACAGGAAAAGCCATCCTTGTTACAAAGTGGCAGAAGTCGCGCCTGAATCTTGTCCTGTGATGCTCCGGGGAAGGCAGAGCTCGCAGGAAGGCACAGGGGCATCTGGCAGAAGGAACCTCAGCAGGGCCCAGGGCGCACCTTGACTGCTTGTAGCAAAACCAGAGAGAAAACCAACAAATGAAAGAGAAACAGAAGAAGAGCGGCCTTACTATCTGGGAAACGCTCAGGCAGTCAGGCCGTGAAGACGGAAAAGGGTTCCGGAGAGGATCCCAAGGCAGCGGCCAAGGGAGCTCCCGGAGGAAGATCCGGGTGGCCCTGAGGAGGCCACAGGCTGTTGATCAGGACAACGGAAGAGGGACCCTGACTGCATTCTGCGGATCCTCAAGACCTTCCAGGCTGCTCTCCCATCCCAGGGTCTCGGGGGCAGAAGAATGTCAAGGATGTGTCCAGGATGCCCACAGGACCTTGGTGCTCACAGCCCAGGGCGCCTCAAGCCTGTTTCCTGAATCCCAGTGCAGAGCTGCCCCACATCCTCTGGAGGCCAAAAGCAGAGGCTTTGGTGGTGTCCCCCTGGCACCAGCGTACAGGGTGTGACACTGCAGGAGCTACAGAGACATGGCTGTCCCCAGCTGGACTTCACAGGGTGCCTGGACAGGCTTGGGGCCCGGATGAGAACAGTCAATGGGGTGAAACACCACAGGGACCCCACGAGAGCAGGCAGCAGTGAACTGTGGGGGCGGGGCTGCCCCCAGACCCAGGACAGCTAAACCTCCTAGGCCAGCCTGGAGGGTCCCCGGCGCCCAGCCCACCCGTGGGGGCTGCTCTGAGTGCACCCAGCAGAGTGGGGCCGGCCCACCAGGGCCTCCTGTGCCAAGCCCCGCCCTTGTGTCCAGAAGGCAGGGGATGCAGTCCAGGATAATTCTCCAGCCTGGGGCGTTAATGTTTCCCTGCAGGTGTGGGGTCTGGTGGGCCCCGTCGTCGTCCTCCCCGCTTCTCCTGTTTGGGAGGGAACGTCTATTTGGCGCTGCTCCACGGCTGTTCTGCAGAACCTCCTAACCAACTGGACCTCCGGGATCATGACGCAAGGGACTCTGCCTCGGCTCCCTGCTCTCCCCCAGCCTGCGTCTCACCCAGGTCGACAGAGGTGAGCTTCCTGGGAGACTTCGGACTCTCAGGTCGACACGTAGGGTTACGGGGGGAAGGAGTGCACCGTGGATGAGAGCGCTGTGTCCCTCCGACACTCAGGATGAAGTGGGCACCCAGGTAACGGTACTAAGGGGTTTAGGAGGTAATTAGGCCACGAGGGTCTGCCCTCACAGACATGGTGAGTCCCCCTAAGACACGTGGAGGGGACTAGCTAGGCTTCTTCTTGAGCTTTTGGCCCTGCCCCTTCTAACACATGAGGACACAGCCATCTTGGAGGCAGAGACTGGACCCTCACAGGACATGGAACTTGCTAGCGCTTGACCTGGGACCGTCCAGCCTCCAGGACTGGGAGCACTCTTCCACTGCTACAGATGGCCCCTGTGGTACTGTGTGGACCAAGACTCTGGGACATGCCAGCTGAGACCACACTGGACACAGAAGGGGCTGTGTGGCTACTGTCTCTGTCCCCTGAACAGCCTTCCCGTGTCCTGTCTCGTAGTCAGAGCAAGCCACCCTGTGTGGCTGTGGGTTCCAGGCCTGGTCCTTGCAGGCCTCTATAGCCCTGGACACAACCCTCTGGGGGCAGCCCTAATGGAAGGGCGTGAGCCCCACCATGTGGAGCCCTCCCAGCTGTCCCTCATTCCACTCCACTTGCAGCATCTGTTACCTCCTCAGCACCTTCCCTGACCACCCCCATGGCTCTCCATCCACTCTGCCCACACGTGTGCCCGCTCAGCCCTCGGGGCCCACCACACACAGCAGCACACTGCTGGCTACCCTCCTCCGACTCTGGGAATCCAGAGCAGGCATCACCTTGGTCTGCCTCGTTCTCCCACCCAAGCTGTGGGGCACAGCCAGTGCCTGGCAGGCATGCCGTGGCCAGTGTCTGGTGGGCATTCCGTGGGCAGGGGATGGGGGATGGCTGACTGGGAGGCCTCCTCTCCAACACCCTCCCTGCCTTCTGCCTTCCGTGAGCTCCAGCAGGGCCTTCTGCAGCCAAGGAAATGTGCTGTGACAGAACTGTCCACTGTGCAGCCTCCAGACGCGGGGGCCATTCCGCACTTCAAATATGGCTGACACACTGGCCATCTGGGAGACAGTTGGAACTGCCCAGTAAGAGGGGGCAGATGCCAAACAAACCCTGAGCACTGATGCCCAGGTTTACAAAGCCCTTTCCTGTGGAGCCAGCCACTAACAGCAAGTGCCAGGGGAGCACAGGTCTGGGTGGACAGCCTTCCCGCACCTGGAACCACTGTGGTCACGGCCTCCTCGTCTGTAAGATGGAGATGAGTCCTTTCATCAGAACTACCTAAAGAATTAAGTCAGATAATGCACGTAGAGCACTTAGCGTGGCCCAGCACACAGCAATCACCCAGGGAATGCCCTACACCACTCGTGCCCTCCATTACTGCACTACTGTAACTATGTCATCACTGCCACTACCGTGTCACCTCTCCATCATCTGCAATAAAACTGAGAAGGAACTAGAAAAATTGCTGTCTTGTAAATGAGAAAAAAATGGGGCTTGGAGCTGGACCGAGCCTCTTGTCAAGAACAGATGGGGGCCGTGATTATGGCTCAGTGGTAGAGCGCTGGCCTAACGTGGGGGAGGCACGGGGTTCAGTCCTCGGCACCACATATAAATGAATACATACAATAAAGATTTTAAAAAGTGTTGTATCTGTTTTAAAAAAATCTTTTTTAAAAAAAGAAAAGGAGGACGATGACATCTTGGTTACCGCTACTTCCTCTGGAGCAGGCGAGGGAGAATCAAAGACGCACAACGACGCTCTTGATCACTACCATGTGCTGCTTAGTAAATGGGGTCAACCCCGGAGAAGGCACAGACGTCCTGCTCTCAGGAACAGGAGGAGTGTAAACAACAATGTGCTGCGCGTCCTATGCTATCCACGGACGGGGAGGGGAGAGGAGGACATTAGAAAGTCGTCAGGGTGCTGGGAAGAAAACTGGGGAAAGGACAGAGTGGCTCCCAGCAGCCACGTGGACGGCCTCCTGAGAGGGTGACGCGGTGAGAGAGGGCTGGGCCTCTCGGGGAGCAGCCTTCGGGCTGGGGATCCCCTCCTGAGGGTGTGTGCCTGGAGCGGTCAGGAGCAGCAGAGGCCAGGGTGCCAGAGCAGGGTGACTTGGCAGGACAGACCTGGGTGAGGTCACAGTGCAACGGGTGATAGAGGGGCTTTCAGGCCACCCGGGAACTTGCCTCTGCTGAGTACCGGGGGGGCAGGGGGGCAGGTGGGCTGCCTTGTGAAGGTGGCAGGAGGAGGCTGTTTCCAGTGGGACACCCGCCGGGCTGCTCTGCTGACAACGGAGAAGGTGGGCAGGGGTGGGAGGGGGACGAGCTGGAAGGCTCCCGATGGTCCCCGAGGGAGACAGCCAGGACCAACGGGGTCATCATACAGAGTGAAGGCCACACCGATGTTTTGAAATGAACCCTTGGGACCTGCTGGCTGATGGACATGGGGAGGAGCCAGTGAGGAGGCTAAGGGCAGTGCTGAGGCTGTGGCCCAGCACAGGAAGGAGGGGCACCAGCAGCAGCAGGGCAGCGAGAAGCGATTCACGCCGTGCGCAGGCCTGTGGCATGCCCCTGGGCCTCCACGGAGTCTAGCAGGCGGATCTGTGCTGGACTTCCTGGAAGTCACCCCTGGAGGTCAGAATTTGGGGCTGTCAGTGGACAGATCACCCCAGGCATGCGTGGCCATGGAGGACAGAGGGGTCCGAGCTCTGCCGTGCTGCAGCCTGCAGGTGGAGAGGAGCACGGAAGCCCCCAGAGACCCCGTTTTACCTTGCCAAGCTCTCAAGAAGTATTTGAGGATGCTTCTCTGGCCAGGAGAGCTGCTCAGAAAGCCAAGATCAGTGTACCTCGTAACAGCAATGTGGCAGCGTCCACCACCTTGGGTGTTTTTGTGTTTCGGGCTGGAATTTTTTTCTCTTTTTCCATTAATTGACCCAACCTGGGACACACCCAGTACATTCGCCTTAACCTCACAGCTAAACCAGATCACTGTTGTTTGATATTCAAGTAGAAGAGCAAAAACACAACAATACCCGCACAAACCCTGATGATGTGGGCCTCGTTCTGAAGTGTACATCTGTCGTTCCCTAAGTCCCTGGGCGTCAGGTAGGGCTTGCATACAGCAGTGCTTGTCAAACGTGCTAGTCTCAGGAACCTTCACACCCTCCACAAGTATGGAGGGCTCCCAAGAACTCTGCTTTATGCAGACTATATTTATTTTATTTTTATGTGGTGCTGAGGATGGAACCCAGGGTCTCACACGTGCTAGGCGAGCGCTCTACTGCTGAGCCACAACCCCAGACCAGACTATATTTATTAATATTTTCTTTTTTTCCTTAGCACAGAGAAAATATTTTTACTATATTTCAAATTAGAGTTAGAATATTTTTGAGTGTCAAGCTGGGCACATAACTGTAATCTCAACAACTCGGGAGGCTGAGACAGGAGGATCATAAGTTTGAGGCCAGCCTGGGCAACTTAGTGAAACTCAATAATAAAGGGGGCTTAGGGTATAGCTCAGTGGTAGAGCACCCCTGGGGTCAATCCTCATTAAAAAAAAAAAAAACACACTAATTCCCTTTTAGATAGGCATAATAATCCCACTGCACATCCACATAAGCAGCATATCTTATGAAAAATAACTACATTCTCCAAAATAAGAATATGGATAGCAGTGTTTTATGCTTCTGCAAATCTCATCTGAGTCTGGATTAATGAAAGAAGCTGAATTCTCAACTCTGCTTCTGGGTTAAATCTTCTCCTATACACATATTGTGTCACTTTCAAAAAAGTCCACTGTCCCCTGGTAAGGAGATGAGTGGGAAATGTACATAATGTCTCAGTATCACTATAAAAATTGCTCTGACTCCTTTAACCCCAGATGCAGTTCCTGGGCCCCACTTTGAGAACCACGGGGCAGTGAGAGGCAGTCTCGGTGAGCATCAGATGAAGAAACCACATAAGACACTCCCATAGGAAGGAGACAGCGAGGGGCCCAGGCAATGAAGCAAATGTTCCAACCAAGGGATGCAGGGCATCACGGGTCCAAAGACAGTGGAACATGTCACAGTCCCTCCCACCTGGGGCTTCACCATGAACTTCTGTGCACACCGGATGTTCTCTCTTACTCCTTCCCTAGATAAACCCACTCATCCTTTGAACATTAGCTGAACGATTTCATCTGACCACCTAACTGAATGACCCTCCTCCCCAGCCCTCCCTCATAGCTCCCCACCACTCTGCTCAAAGTACTTAATCACTGTGCAATTATGAATGTACTTCCCCAGCCCCTGGCACACAGCATGGCCCTCAGCAAAGGTGTAAATACCTATGAACATGTGTATGTCTGCGTATACACATGTGTGCATGTGCATGTGTGTATATGTACATGTATGTGTGTATAAAATGAATGGAGGGAGGGAAGGTTTCAGACAATCACACAGAAACAGCTAACAGGCACCTTCAGGAACTAGGATCGTGCTCTGGAGAGAGTCTTCCACCACTGTGGGGAACCTTGCCCCAGGCCCCACAGAGTGGGGTGAGTGCTCACGGCGGCAGGGACACCCAAGACCCACAGAAGCCCCAAGTTCTTTACTGTCCAGCTTATGGAAGGATTGTCTGAGACAGGCCCAGAGTGATGCAGGAAGAACTGGCATGGGCAGGGCCAGGACCCAGGTGAGGCAGGTACTAGAGACACAGAGGGCACCTGGACACAGATGCTCACTCAAAGGTTCCTTCAAGGGCAGGAGATGACCTGGACTCACTCTGGTCCTGCATGGCCTCAGGCACTTCCCAGAGGGCACTGTCCCTCCTCTCAGCAGGCCCATCCTCCACACCTGCTCTTGACAGAGGCCCACGTCCACCTCAATGTTCCAGCACAATCTGGCCCTGGAGCCCACCCTGCACCTGCAGGCACAGAAGAGCACGAGGCCAGGGCCATGCTTTCTTGGGCCTTGGTTTTTTTCCTCCACAAATGGGCCAGATAATTCCCACTTCCCTTGGCAGAAGCAAGTGAAAGGACCCAGTGAAAATGCGCTGTCCTTGGGCTACTTACAGCTCAAAGTTCACAGACACAGTGCAGTGCTTCATACTGAAACCGAGAAGACATGACATAGGAAGCATCAGAGGCATTCTCAACCTCTGCAGCCATGAGGGAGCCCTGGGGCATGCACCAGACAGAGCGGCAGGACTGCAAGCTGGCCCTGGGGGAGAGTGGGAGGACTCCAAGGGCATCAATGATCCAGCGCCTGGCGAAGGCGCTCCTGGAAATCTCTGGGTTTGCAGCCAGGATTCATGAGACAGCCAGGAAGGAAGAGGGAAGCGGTGGGACACAGACCTTGGACAGGTCCCCCTAGAGCCTGGGGGAAGGGATGGGGCACAAATTAAGGAATGAAATCTAGGATAGATCTTCACCAAGGGCCAGAGGCAGACAAGGGACCTGATCAGAGAGAGAAGGCATGAGGCTGGTGACCAGCTTGGGGAGGAGGAGAGAGCTAGGGTATCCGGTGCCTTTCCAAGTTTGGACACAGAGAAAGACCAGGGTCAAGGCCAAGTGGGAGATGGCCAAACTCATCAGGGAAAGTGTAGTGTGGTAAAAATCCAGCCAATACCCCGGACGCTCATGTCACAAGCTGCACCTTCCCAAGAAGAGCTGGCCACCGCTTTAACTGACGCACAGTGGCCTCTGGGGGAGTCACCATTAGGCAGGGTTGTATGTACAAAGAAAGAGAAGTGAAGTGATTTGCTCGGGGACACAGAGCTCCTAGAACGCGGAGCAGGATTCGAACCTGGCCGCTGGTCGTGGCCAAGCCTTCACCCCCAATCCAGAGCCGCCCCCTCCTGTCGGGGTTCTCTGGGGCGCGCGGAAGGCACCTTAGCGACACCGCCAGGCGCGGCGGTCGGATCCCGCCTCCCCTTCCTCGTCCTCTGCCCAATATTAAAGGCCCCCGCCCGGCCTGCAGACCATGGGCCGCGCGGGTCCCACCCGAGCCCGGGGCGGCGCTGCTCACCTGTGCTCTGCGCTCGGGCCCTGCCCCGCTGGGTGCCGAAGGGGTCCCCGGGCAGGGCCCGACCTGGCCCGCCGCGGGCAACGTGCGGGGAGTCTGCTCGCCGAAGGGGTGATGGAGCGGGCCGGGGCCCGCGGGGAGCCAGCCTGGGGCCCTCAGAGCCAGGGCCGCGACCAGGACGCCCCCGGCCAGCACCCACGTGGCGCGCCACCCAGCGCCCACGGGACCCATCGCCCGCCGGGGTCCCGCGCCCCGAAACCGGCCGGCGCCGCGGAGTCGCTGGGCTTCCGGACCCCAGGCCCGCCCCGCCGCCGAGCATGCTCAGTGCGAGCCGCCGCGGAAAGTTTTCTGGAACAAACACGGGCATCTGGACTTGGCGGGCCGGGAGGCGCCCGGGGTGTGGGAGGGAGCCAGGGAGCCAGGCTCGTGAGGCTGAGCGCTGCGCGGTCACGCCCCGGTTGCTCGCGCTCTGCCGGGTGTCCCATACTACCCAAATCAGAGCAGGTCCCTCTTCCGACTCCAGGGATTACCAGGGGTCCTCTACTAAAGCCCACCCGGTTCTCTGGATCCCAGCTCAGCCTCACCTCCTCTAGGAAATCCCTGGACACCGGACTAGATCCCCACGCTTCCCTCACCCACCTATTAGGAAACCGAAAGGCGTTAGGGCATTTGCAGAGAGCCTGCGATGTCTCTATCAGAGGAGCTGGCAGGGAGCAGGCAGAGAAAAAAGGTGACCCGCACTTCCTGTTGGGTTCAGTATTCACTGGATTAGCCCCTGGAACTGCCCAGGGGGGCACATTCCCAGGGAGAGGCAGGTAGTTTCTGACTCTCTCTGGAGAATCAGAAAGAGGGCAGAGCGTGTCTGGAGCCTGGAAGCCTTTGAGCAGCTCCTCTGAGCCCTTCTTGGGGACACGTGGAGACTAGGCTTGGCTTTGCTTTGCCCTGGGGATTGGGGGTGGGGTGCAGTTTGTCTGCTTCCTGTTCCTTTCTCATCCCCTATGGGCACAGCTCATGCCTGATCACTGGGGAAAGAATTCCTCTCCTGCCAGTTTTCTTGCTGGGCAGCCTCTGAGGCTGGCATTTCACCTCCCAAACACACACCTCCAAGGACAGGCCTTCTTGACCTGTCACGGATAAGGTGATGGGTTAAGGATCTGAGAGAGAGAGAGGCCAACATTCCCACAGTAGGTTTGCTGTCCTAGGTGGTACCTGGCTGTGTCAAGAGTGAGACAAGGCCAAAGGCTAAATGCCAAGCATCCTACTGGAGCAACAATGTTATATGGCAGCGAGTCATTTAAAATGACATTTTAATATTCAAACAACCTTGTAATAAAGTAAAGTGCAATGAACATTACATGATTCCCTTTTTTTAGACGGGTCCTGCTGTGTTGCCTGGGCTGACCTTAACTTTGAATCCCTGGATGCAGCCATCCACCTGCCCCTCCTCCTGAGGACTGAGTAGCTGGGACTAGAGATGCATGCCACTGCACCAGCCTTTACATTTGGAAAACTGAAGCCTGAGCATGCCACGAAATAGCCAGCATAAAGCACAGGGTTATTGTCCCTGCAGATGTGCCCAGGAGCCTTGGAAATTCTTCTGAGGAAACATTTAAGCAGCTAGCAGAGACTGTGTGCCTTGAAGCCAGACAGGCGCAGGGTTGAGTGTTGCACTCCTTAGTTGCACCTTGAGCAAGTCACCTCTCCTTTCTAGCTGTAAGTTTTTTCATCCGTAAAAAAGATGAGGAATTTGGATAATAGTTCCCACCTTGCCCACCTGGAAGGGTAGAGGGAAATGATGAAACAGACTGGGAGAGTTGAGCCTGGTCTCCAGGGCGAGAAGCTCAGCACAGAAGCCCTCTCTGTTGAAACAGATCCCTGGATTACCTCCAGCCCTCCTCTCACGGGGAATCCAGGTAGGAGCCGGCACATGCACACATCTGGGAGCACTCATGTGCCCCTGGCTGCACTCTGGCTCCCAGGACAATTGCTAGCAGGCACTCTGCATTCAGAAGGAGCAGGACGCTGGCATCGCCTTGTGTGTCTCCACACAGCCTGGAGATCCAACCAGCCTGGGCGTCAGCAGGCTCATCCCTGCTCCAGAAAGACACTGCATGTTCTCTGCAAATGCCCAGCAAATGGAAGAGCTCCCACTGTCTCAGAGCTAGTGGGGCCAGGGTGTGGCAATCTGTTTACACATTGCTAAAAGCACAGGCCGTAGGAAACGGGATGAAAACGGGGAACTTCAGGGTAGCAAATTTGGGGTAGTGGTAGGTTGTGAGGCCCCAGGAAGGCCAGCCCTTAGAGGCAGGAGCAAGAGCTGAAGTCCAGTCTGCTTGAAGCTACTGAACTGCTCTGACCTTGAGCTTCCTCCTCTAGAGGATGGGCAGTGAACAGCACCCTTCACGGAAGGTTAGTGGGAAAGTTAATGAGATCATCAGATTAAATGCTTAGCTTATCTAAGCGGTCTATCAGTTTAAAGGAGCAAACCTCCCGGGTGCTTGGGGACACCCTTTCTCCACCGGAGCCCAGGATGCCTGGTGTAAAACAAGACCCCCTCTTAAAAGTCCTGCGGGCTGGGAGCGCGCCTCTGGTGGGCATGCTCAGTGCACCGGCAGGGCCGGGGGCGGGGGTGCCTCAAAGTTTTGGGCGGATGGCCCAGGCTCCTCCCTCCTGCTCGGGCGGAGCAGGGAAGCCAGAGAGGAGCAAGGGGAAGGCGACTTCACCCACCGGAAAGTGGGCGAGCGCCCCGCGCTCCTGGCGGCCCGGGCTCCGAGGGCCGCATCGCGGACGCCGTGGGCACCTTGCGGTGGGCCGCGGGCCGGGACACTGCGCGGCGGCGGGCGGGATGCGGCCGGTCCCCCGTCTGAGCGCCCGCGATGGCCCGCGGCGCCGCGGCCTGTGCGAGCGACGCGCGGCTGCTGCTGGGCCGGGACGTGCTGCGGCCCGCGCCCGCGCTGCTGGCCCTGGCCGTGCTGCTGGGCGCCGCTCTCGGCCTCGGCCTCGGTCTGTGGCTCGGCTGCCGCGCGGGCCGCCTGCGCCCGCGACACCAGGTGAGTTCACCGAGCCCGCAGCCACGGGGCGAGAGCGCGGTCCTTCACGGTCCGGGGTCTGAGGCCAGGCTCTGTCCTGGGCTTTGGCGCGATTACCGGCTTTGAGTTCCCCTTCTGCTCCAGGAGGGAGTTGGAAGCAGGGATTTTGGAGGGAGGGTACAGGGCATTGGCCTGGCGTCCTGCTGAAGTGTCTATTGCATCCTACTTTGCTGCATGATCTTAGCCTGCAGGCCTCTTTGGGCCAATTTTCTCCTCCAAAGGACCATGAGTTCGGACATAATGCTAGCAGATGTGCCCAGTTCAGAGGGGTGCGCAGGGGGCTGGGTGTCTGCTCCTGCTTCTCCACTTCCTGCCCGCCCCTGTGAATTACCCAGCTTGATTCCCAGCTGCTGTAGCATTCATGGTTCAGTTCACTCATCCCTACAGCAACAGGTGGCTGAGAACCTTTTACAAGGAGCCAGTGGCCTAGGGACTCAGATGGAACAAGGACCAGGAAAGACTTTGCCCTTGTCAGCTAGCAGGAGAAAGACACATTGCAAGTAAACATTTGGTCATAACACATGGGTTCTGTGACTGAGAACTCAGGCTAGCATGCCTTGAGTGCCAGGGAGCTGCTGAGCTAGACCCTCTGCCTCAGTCTGAGTCCCAAACAGCTTTGATTTCCATTAACGTTTCCATTCTGCACATAAGGAAACTGAGGCACAGAGAGGTTAAGTAACTTGCCACAGTGAGCGTGTGAGCCTAACCCCGAAGCCACTGTGTTCTATGTGGATGAGGCTCGGGCGGCTGGCTGCTGAGAAGACCAGCAGGTGCTGCACACCCCAGCTGTGCTGATGAAGTGGGCGTCGTGGAAACACCTGGCACACTGTAGGTGTGGGTCAGTCGTGGTCAAGGAGGACCTTGTTCTAGATCCTTTTAGCTTCTGCCTCCATGAGGAGTAAAGAGATAGGATTGGAGATGAGGTGATGTTGTTTCCAGCTCCCACCCGCTCCTGGTCCTTGTGAAAAGGAGACGTGTCTGGCCTGGGCACACAGGCTCTTTCCCAGTGAGCTGATCTCTGGGAGTGTCACGTTGCACAGGGACAAGGGCTGAATCGGAAACAGTGCAAGGTGCTGCAGGGAGTTGGGGGCTGTCTTCACCGCCCGTAGGAAACATTAAGGGAGTCTGGCTTCTTGGGTGGAGACAGAAAGGTCCAAGGAAGGGAGACTGCCAGGCCTGGCCCTGTGCAGGGTTTGTGGGTTCTTTATCCTCAGTGGGGCCTAGCAGGCAGGGACCTATCAGCAGCCACTTCACAGTGAGGTGATGGAGGCCCTGCAAGGTTGATACTTACTAGTCCAGGCTCACACAGTAAACCAGCATGGGGTCAGGACCCCAGAGCCGGAGCTTGAACCACCTGCTACCTGGTAAGGTGGTCCTTAGCATCCTGTTTGGGTCAGCTGAGGCTCACAGTCTAACAAAGCTGTGTGGGTTGGCACAGCTGGTCAGTTGAGGATGATGGTGGCCAGGCCAGCATGGTAGCCACAAGGAGGCTCTGGCTCAAGGGCAGAGCCACGGGCTCTTATGGCTTAAATGTGACCTATGCAACGGCCTCCTTTCTAATGGGACTCCCTCCCTCCCCTGTCCTTCCTGCAGTCTTTTTCTAAAACACACATCCTACAGTATGGCTGTCTTGATGAAAACCCCGTGCCCCCTGTTGACTCCAAGATAATGCCAGGCTCCTCGCACCGCACCGTGCGTTAGGTGGTGCGCCTTCCCCTGCAACTGCCTAGCACGAAGGTGGCCGTGCACCCACAGAGATGGCTCTGGAGGCCACACGCCCTCTCCTGCCTCCTGCACACGTGTTCTCTTCTCTTCCGAGTCCCCCAGCCCAGGAGTTCACTGTGCATTACTCTCCTTTTCTTTTGTTCCTTTATTTATTACTAGAATCTTTAACTTTGAATCAAGTTACTCCTGCACGCCGTGTGAAGTGCTCCTTTGAGAGCAGCACCCCCGCCATCCCCACATCTCAGAAGCCAATGTCCTCAACTCGCAGCTGCTGCTTTTGGTAACTTATTCCCCATTTCTAAATAACATGGCTGGGTTGCTGCTGCTTTCTGGCCTTAGCAGCACCCACTGAGTTCCCTGGTGGGAAGGAGGAGGATTTAGCTCTCTTCCCCCCTCCATCAGTACACTCACCCCCAATCCCACCAGTCCTCTTGCTGCGTGGCGAGAGGGGAACTGGGGTTAAATCGTATTCAGTGTTTCTCTTACGATGATGCTGTAAGCATGACTCACTCTAAGTCAGGGATCAGTTATGGTCATGAATACTTTCCTTTCTTGCAGAACATTTTGTTTTTCCTGAAATTAACGTGTCAGATTTTCTGTTAGATTTCACGTGCTTATCTCTCCTTTGTTTGTTGTACATTTCTTTTTAAAACACTGGAATACATAAGGCATTTGATCAGTTTTATCTTCTTGAGAAAAACATTCTGACATGCTCCAGTTTGAAACGGCTGCTCTCTAATGTCTGGAACAGACCAGCGGCATCAGCATCACCTGCAGCATGACAGGAGGGCAAACTCTGGGTCCCATCCTAGACTCACAGTATGAAAACCTCCAGGATGGGTCCCAGCAAGCCATGCTTAATAATCCCTCTCAGTAAATTTTCTTAGTGTTTGAGAAACACCTGCTCTGGGCTTCCTCTGACACCGTGGAGACTTCACAGGGCCACCCTAACAGGACTCCTTATCTCTCTCCTGGTTGGATCCAGGTGCAGGATCTGGAGCACTTGTCTTTCTCTGACTGATTTCCTTGTGTGGATGGAGGGCATCCTGAAGTAGCTTTCTGAGAATGGGGTGGATTAAACTATTTTGAGAACTCCTCTGTCTGAAAATGTCTTTATCCTTCCATCTTTATCCCCAATTTGGTTAGGTGAGTTGGTATAGAATTCCAGGTTGAAAATAGCATTCCTTCAGAATTTTGAAGGCATCTTTCCATTTCCTTCTACTTCCTTTGTTGGCGTTGAGAAGTTTGGTTCTGTTCTGATTTTTGATACTGTCCATGAAGGCTCTTTTTTCTTTTGCTCCTTGGTAGCATCTTGAAGAATTTTTTCCTTGCCCCAGTGTTATGGTTTAGAGATGGGGTGTCCCCCAAGAGCTCATGTGTGAGACAAGGCAAGAAAGTTCAGAGTGAAAGGATGGGTTCTGAAACCCTTGACCTAACCCCTGTATCAGTCCCCTGAGGAGGATTGACAGGGTGGTGACGTAGCCAGGTAGGGTGTGGTGACCCTAGCCAGGTAGGGTGTGGCTGGAGAAGGTGCTCCATTGAGGGTGTGCCTTTGGGGTTATATTTTGTCGTGGTGAGGGACCTCTGTCTCTCCTTCCTGGTGGCCATCGGTTTCCTGAGCCACTTTCCTCCACGAGTCCCTTCTGCCGTGATGTTCTGCCTCACCTCAGGCCCCAAAGAATGGAGTCAGCGTGTATGAGCTGAGACCTCTGAAGCCATGACCCCAAATGAGCTCTTCCTCTCCTTGTTCTCGCTGGTCTTTTGGCCCCAACAGCAAAAAAGCTGACTGAACCCCAGGGAATCAAATTGCATCAGGACGGGCCTTGGTGGCATCTGTGCCATCTGTTGTACGGGCCTTTGGGTGGCTCTCTCAGTCCAGAAACTCCTTTTCCTTATTTGTTTGAAGATTCTTTCCTTTCATATGTTCGCTTACTTCTTCCAAGAACTCCATCATGCTCAGCCTAAATTGACCTCTGATTATTGATCTCTCCCTCCCGTATCCCATCTCTGGGTGTGTGTGTGTGTGGGGTGTGTGTGTGGGGGGGGGGGGGGGGGTGGTCCTTTTTGGGGGGGTTTTTTCAATTCCAGGCTC